CGTCGCCCCGCCGCATCGCGCAGGCGCCCCGCGTGCGCCACCTTGCGGACGCCCGGCCCGCCGCTCTGCGCCTGCGCGCCCCTCGCGCCGGCCGCCACCGCCTTTCCCAGAGCCTCTTGGACGCCCCGCCCCAGGCCGGGCGGTGGGAAATAGGCAGTCAGAAAGCCCAGCGGGGGAGCCACGCCCCTCGCGGCCAGAGCACACAGCCGCTTCCAATGAATCTCGCCTATCGCCAGCTCGCGGCCTCCCATTGGCTTTCTCTCGCCGGGAGGCGGGGAGAAGAGGCGGGGCGTCGGCCTAGCGCCTGGCCAATCGCGGGGCCCAGCGCGCGCGCCCTCGGTTGCCCCGGGAAACCTAACAGCTTGCCTTCGCGCTGCGCTGCTCCGGCTGAGCCGGGCGGAGATGGACGGCCTGTCCGAGCACACTAACGACCCCGGCGGGGAAAGCGGAGACAGGGAAAGCCTGGCCGCGCGGCCGTCCGAGATCAAGGCCAGCTCTGGCCCTCCGACCCCGCCCGAACCCGGGCAGCCGGGGTCAGAGCTGGAGGAGGAGGAGGAAGAGGAGAAGGAGGAGAAGGCGGCTTCGCAGGGAGGTACCGCCGCGGACCAGCAGGCCGAGGCCTCGAAAGGGCTAACGGCCGCCGAGGTTGAGGGCGAGGAGGGGCCTGGAGCGCCGGCGAGGCTGGCCGAGCCCCAGTCCGAGCCCGAGCCCGAAGAGCCGGCCCAGGCCGGGGCTGAGGAGCCCGTCCAGCTGGAGCCCGGAGCCGGGCACCTGGAACTAGAGGCGGAGGCGGGGGCGGAGGAGGAGCTGGAGCAGGCGGCGGAGGGGAAGGAAGCGCCGTCCCTGACCTCCCTGCCGCTGCCCAGGATCGGCTTGAAAGAGGCTGCTGCAGCCCGGGAGGCTGAGACAGAGCAGGTGGAGGAGGAGAAGGAGGAGGAGGAGGAGGAGGAGGAGACGCAGAGAGATGGCGCAGAGAGCGAGGGGAGGGGTGGGGAAGGACGCCCGGCCAAGAGCCAGGAAGAGGGGAAGCGCCTTGGTGGAAGGGACCAGCTTGAGGACCTGGAGTGGTCCGAGGAGGTCCAGAGGCTGCAGGAGCAGCAGCTGCGCAGCGACCTCCTGGACCAGTACCGTTCCCTGCTAGTGGAGCGGAAGCGCTCCCAGCGCTACAACCTGTACCTGCAGCACAAGATCTTCGAGGCGCTGCGCAAGAAGAAGGGCCTGGAGGCCGCTGAGGTGCCTGACCAGGGCGCGGAGGCCGAGGCCCCCGAGAAAGAGCAAGTGTACCTGCGCCATCTGGGCATGCTGGAGGAGCTGAAGAAGCAGCAGGCAGACGACCTGCAGTGGTACCACCAGGAGCTGGGCCAGCTGAAGCGGCAGTGCCAGGAGAAGCTCACCAGGGTGGAGAAGGAGTGGCGACGCTTCCAGGCACTCAAGAAGCAGGTGGTGATGCAGGCCATGGGCAGCTGTCGGATGAGGGGCGGGCGCCAGGCTGCTCTGCGAGAGGTGGAGCAGATCCAGGCGCTGGAGGATAAAAAGGAGAAGGAGATGAGTGCCGTGAGACTAGAAAACGTGCAGCTGAAGCAGAGCCTGGTGCATTTTGAAACCAGGATGAGGACCCAGGAGGACCTGACCGAGGGTCTGCTCCTCATTGACTTTGAACAGCTGAAGATTGAGAACCAGACCTTCAATGAGAAAATTGAGGAACGAAATGAGGAACTTTTAAAACTTCGCAACAAGGTGACCCACAGTGTGCAAGTAGTAACCCACGTGAAGGAAAAACTTCACTTCATGGACGTGGAGAACGCATGCAAAAAGACACAGCTGGCAGAAATCGAGGCCCAGGTCGCCCTAAGAAGAGACATCCTGACCAAGACGAAGCAAGCCCGCGAGGGGCTGCGGGCGGACAACATCAGGCTGAACCAGAGGTGCGGGCTTCTAGGCAAGGAGTCACTCCTTCGGGACTTGGAAGAAAAGGTGGACAAGACGGAACTGCTCCGCGGGCGCCTGGAATCCCTGAAGCGCCACCACGCTGGGCTCACTTTGTCCTGCAGAGGCGTGAGGCAGAAGATCAGGGAGGCCAGAGCCTTTCTCCCCTCTTGACCATATCGACGAGAAGACTGCAAGTCCTCAGGATATGGACTGCAAGTCCGACCTTCTTTTTTTTTTTAACCTTTGATGCCATTCTTAAAAAGGCCTGTAATATTTGGGATGGAACTGTATTTTGTATTGATCTCAAAACGTTTCAGCTTCCAAATTAGTGCTGAGCCCAAAATTCAGTTAGGAGTTTTATTTGGGATTGAGCAAAGCAGGTCCAGAAAAGCAAAGCATGATTTAATGTAACTAACTTCTCATGAAAATCTGCTGAAAGTCTTAAGTCTGAGCAATTCCATGATTTCAACGACTTAATTCTAAGGAGTACTGTTCCTCTTTCATATGTAGGAGGGTTTAAATGTACAGTGAATGGGCAAGGTACAAAAAAAGTCCTGTGCTAATTATTAAATTCTGTAGATTTATTAAACTGTGTAGTCCCACATCACTGTTTCAGTTAGAAGCTCACTAATCCCCTTAATCTTTTTTTTTTTTTTTTTTTTTTGATTAAACATTGGCCAGGCCTCTTTTTTTTTTCTTTAAATAGGCTTTTTTTTTTTTTGAGATAGAGTCTTGCTTTGTAGCCCAGGCTGGAGTGCAGTGGCGCAGTCTCAGCTCACTGCAACCTCCGCCTCCAGGGTCCCAGTTCAAGCAATTCTACCTCAGCCTTCCAAGTAGTTGGGACTACAGGCATGAGCCACCATGCCCAGCTAATTTTTGTATTTTTTTTTTTTACTAGTGACAGGGTTTCACCATGTTGGCCAGTCTGGTCTTGAACTCCTGACCTCATGATCCGCCCACCTTGGCCTCCCAAAGTGCTGGGGTTACAGGCATGAGCCACTGCACCCGGCCAGATTAATCTTAAATTTCAGTGATTTCATATGTGACTAGCATGAGCTTTGGGAGCAATACAAATATCCAGGCAACAGGAGAGGAGCTGATATTTCTTCATCATTCCTTTTTCAGTGAAAGGGAGTTCAGTCTACTCACTGTTGATGTCTGGTTCTGCTTCAGTGGCAGTCCTCAATTCTTTTTATTTTTTTCCTGAGACAGGGTCTCACTCTATCTCCAGGCTGGAGTCCAGTGGCAGGATCTCAGCTCAACTGACCTATGCCTCCCAGGTTCAAGCGATTCTCCAACCTCAACCTCCCAAGCAGCTGGGATTATAGACACACACCAACACGCCCAGCTAATTTTTGTATTTTTAATAGAGGTGAGGTTTCACCCTGTTGGTCAGGCTGGTCTCGTTCTCCTGGGCTCAAGCGATCCATCTCCCTTGACTTCTCAAAGTGCTGGGATTACAGGCTTGAGCCACCATGCCCGGCCTGACAGTCTTCAGTTTCTAATGAAACATGTTTTTGGATCCTCTGAAGAAATGCGTTGATCTGTACCAAAAAATGAAATTTTGTTTTCCAATGAAAACAAAATAACAGTTGTATTGCATGCTTTGCAAGGTGCAAAATATAGGCACGGTGGCTGCTGGCATCGCAGAAGAGCGCCTTCTACATCAGCTGGACCCTTTCAGATCTCAACAGGGCATTGCTGTGCGCGAGTTCACTGAGCAGCAAATAGTAAAATGCCTCTTACTCCTTGTGTTCATGTTAAAAATACCTCATAGGTCTATTTCCTTAATGTAGTATCAGTGATTATCTTGGAGCTGGGGGCTTGTTTTCATTTCTTCTTAATCCTAGATTGAATTTTGAGATGTGTGGACTTGGGGTTAAATAAGTATTCTCCCACTCCTAAACTTAAGTGAATCATAAAAATGTGACACCGTTTTTGGTGCTGGATAACTCTGAAGAATGGTGGGAACCCAGCTCTGGGCAGGGGACTCAGTCGTGAGCTTTATCTTTGGATGCCATGATTTTGTTTGTTTCTTTGGATTGTTTTTATTTTTTGAGATGGAGTCCCACTCTGTTGCCCAAGCTGGAGTGCAGTGGTATGATCTTGGCTCACTGCAACTTCTGCCTCCCAGGTACAAGCGATTCTCCTACCTCAGCCTCCTGAGCAGCTAGGGCTACAGGCGCGCACCACCACGCCCACCTAGTTTTTTGTATTTTTTAGTAGAGACAGGGTTTCACCATATTGGCCAGGCTGGTCTCGAACTCCGGACCTCGTGATCCTCCTGCTGATCACAAGTTCAGATGTGAGCCATCACACCTGGCCATGATTTTGTTTTCTAAAGTATGCTCCCTTGGAAGCCAATGAAGTTTGATTAAAATTCCTTTTCTTTTTTTTTTTTTTTTTTTGAGACGGAGTTTCGCTCTTGTTACCCAGGCTGGAGTGCAATGGCGCGATCTCAGCTCACCGCAACCTCTGCCTCCCGGGTTCAGGCAATTCTCCTGCCCCAGCCTCCTGAGTCGCTGGGATTACAGGCACGTGCCACCATGCCCAGCTAATTTTTTGTATTTTTTTAGTAGAGATGGGGTTTCACCATGTTGACCAGGATGGTCTCGATCTCTTGACCTCGTGATCCACCCGCCTTGGCCTCCCAAAGTGCTGGGATTACAGGCTTGAGCCACCGCGCCCGGCTAAAATTCCTTTTCTAACTTTCATGGCTTGAATATACTTTATTATATCAAACCACTGAAAAGTAGTAATGAGTTAAATAAAAAAGCTTGGGCCGGTTGCGGTGACTCACACCTGTAATCCCAACACTTAAGAAGGTCGAGGCGGGTAGACTACTTGAGCCCAGGAGTTTGAAACCAGCCTGAGAAACACCTCAAAACCCCATCTCTATAAAAATACAAAAAGATTAGCCGGGTGTGGTGGCGCACACCTGCAGTCCCTCCCAGGTGGGAGGATCAATTGAGGCTCGGGGGCGAGGGTGTGGAGCTCCTGTGAGCAGTGATCGTGCCACTGCACTCCAGACCATGCAACACAGTGAGACCCCGTCTCTAAAAGCTTTGACTTCCGGCTTCCATTCTCAATCACTCACTCACCGCCATTTTAGTCTTCCCTCTACGCTATATATCAAAGCAAATCACTGGCAAATAGAATTTCCTGTGTGCCTCAAACTAGAAGCAGGACAGGCCCACTGGGTTCTTCTGTAGCTAGGGAGGCCTCAAGTGGACCTGGCAATGATGCTTCGACACCTGACCAAGCATGTGACTTTTGTAATAACGGTGTCCTTTATCCCTTTGATTCACTACAGGGAGAATCGACCCACCAGTGATTATCTAGATCCAAGCAAACCCTCCCTCCCCAGCCTCGAGCCCAGTAACAAGCAGATCTCTCAGAGCACAAAGATACAAAGGAGTTTGCTGAGTCTGGCATTGCTTTAAGCTGCAAAGCAAACCTGTCCTAAGTGACTATATAGTGAGTTACCAATGTTTTCTCAAATTACAGTACCTTATGCTGGAAATGTTACAATTAATTAGTAGATAATCTTCTGTTAATTATCTCCTACCACAGTTCTTTCCAATTATAGGAGAGTGCTTCATCATGAAATAGCAACACACCCATAAATTGATAGATGGCTTCTGAAGAATTCTACAGACCCTGACGCACTGTCTGTCCCCAGAGCCTCACTGAAGGGCTGTTAGTGCCTCCACAGAAGCCTGTGTGCAGCGCAACTCAGCCTTTGATTTCCTGCTTAGCGATGGTGTACTTAGGTACCTGTTCCTTCCGGACAAAGTCCAGGAAGGCAAAGACTGTTGGTTTGTCACCCTCCCTAGTGGCCAGCACAGGGCCTGGCATATGAACGGTACTCTGTAAATGTGTTGGATTAATACATTGATAAAATGCCCATCTCATTCATTTTCCAAAAATAAGTATTACTTGAATGCCTATCAGGTGTCAGGCACGGGTAAGTCCTGTGTTGGATTCAAAAATAATCCTAGGCAGAAGGAGGATGTCTCAAGACCTAGAACCAGTTAGGGAAAACAGCAGAATGGCGGACTTGTAGCCAAAGTAGGAAGGCACCACAGGTAAAGAGTTGATCTGGCTGGGCGCGGTGGCTCACGCCTGTAATCCCAGCACTTTGGGAGGCCGAGGCGGGTGGATCACGAGGTCAAGAGATCGAGACCATCCTGGTCAACATGGTGAAACCCCATCTCTACTAA